AGGCTCTGCTTTTTGGCTTTGAAGCAGAGCTGTATATTACAGAGACTTTATCTGTTTACATATATTTTTTGTTTAGCACAATTCATTGTCATTCACAATTATTTTTGTTTGTATTTTTGTTTACCCACCTGAATTTTTTCACGCATATGATTTGTCACTTAATGGTATTAATGCACATGAAGGTGTAAAAAAAGTGAAGGATTTTTTAATGTATATAGACCAGTGGTTCTCAACCTGTGGGTCGGAACCCCTTTGGGGGTCGAATGACAATTTGCCAGGGGTCGCCGGGAGTCTCCCACTATTAGATAGCTATTAGATTATCATCATTATTATTAATAATAAAAGCTGACACCCTCGGCTTGTGTTATATGGTTTGCCAATTTAGCTGTTACAACAGCGGTTCTCAATCTGCGGGTCGCTGTGTGATTTCTGCTGTGCTAGGTGAGAGTCCTCCTCAGCCCTCTCCTAGCGCAGCAGTGTCAGTTCTCCCGCCACGCCGCCAGATGTCGCTGCAGCAGCCGCGTCAACCCTAAATGTTACCGTTGGGAGTCACCACAACTTGGCAAATGTCACCAAGGGGTCCCGGCCCTAGAAAGGTTGAGAACCACTGATATAGACTGATTCACTTTATCTTTACACACTGAGACACCTAGAAGCACTTGGTTAAAAATCACCTCCTAATCGTACACAGGTTTATTAACCATTACAGTGCCGTGTTTTTTTGATTAACGGCACTTGTATTGATGTGGTGTTTTTTTTTGTGTGATTTGTAGTTCACAAACACGATTATATGTTTTTTTGATTCACCTACTAGCGCTGTTAATTTGGTTTAAACATCCTCAGACCCAGCGGTCTTTAATACAGCAGCTGGTATTTTACATCACAATATTTATTCATTTATATTGATGTGTTGACCCGATACACTAAAAATTCATCACATTGACTTTGCAGTAAGTAATGTGTTAAGGAAACACTATTTTGGTTTAATTCACTGCCACCTGTGTGATATACAGCTAATTGAACTCCTAGCGCCACTTATCTTGTTATATCAACTAAAACCGCTTTATCTGGGCCCCCTGGACAAAAAGAGTGCTTAACCCATGCAACACGGTGGTAGCCCCACGGCAAGGGTCAGTTTCTGGTTTTCCCGGAGTTCTTTAACGTGGATTCCATGCCATGGCTTTCATTGAACCTGCAATTTCCCAGTCTTGATGTTCTGTTGTGTTGATGTGAAATAATAGGGTGAGGACAAAGCAAAAGGAGCGCCTCCATAGTGTAAAATTGATTTATTAAGGATAAAACACACAGCTGAAAAGGTACTTACGAACCATCTTGTATAAACGAGCAGAAAGCGATATAATCCCAGGAGACCATCAAGATGAAAACAGGAAAATAGGGTGAGGGAAAGGAAGGTGCTAGGTTCTGATGAAAGAGGTTTGTCCTCAGAAATGCGTCAACTGAAGGAGGGCCAGCGTGCAGATAGCTTCGGGTTAGTACCAGCACTTCCTTTCCCTCACCCTTCTTGTATTCATCTTGATGGGCTCCTAAGATTATATCGCTTTCTGCTCGTTTATACAAGCTGGTTCGTAAGTACCTTTTCAGCTGTGTGTTTTATCCTTAATAAATCAATTTTACACTATGGAGGCGCTCCTTTTGCTTTGTCCTCATCAGATTTTCGGTTTCCCGTGACTGTGACGAGCTGCCCCCCTGTATATGCTTTTGGAAGACCATTTTCAGGAACAGTTACTGTGTTTTGGCGCCTGTGATTGTCACATATCTTTATGAAATAATAGGGATTTGAGTGTATTTATTTTTTTATAGGAAAGATTGCATTGTACAGGATCTGCACCTATAGAATAAAAAAACTCTTTCAAGTGACACTAAGCTCAAATGTTAAAAATACATTCAAGTGCCTTAAAAGGAGAACTATGAGGGGCGTGCTTTTCACTCACCTCATAGTTCTAGCTGACCTGTGACAATGAGACTGTCACAGGTCGGCTCAGTAGATCGGGAGGTGAGCGAACACATACCGGCGTTCGCTCACCTCTCGATCCTGTCACGGCTCTCTGCCGTGACAGGGGAGGGGCTATTTTTTTTATTTAATTGAATATATTTATTTAAATATGTTTTCTGTGAAGTGAATCTTTTCAGAAAATAAACATTTCCAATGCACTACAATGTATTTTTTACATACGAAGGTGTCAACGGCGTCATCAGATTTTATTAGATTACAATCCACGCGTCAATCATAATGGACGACGCCTGCAGGCTTTTTGAAATAAGAAATACCCGCCGGGCCGTCCAATCACGACAAACTCTTCCAACAAAATAACAGCTCTGACCCAATTGTCAACAAAAGGGGTGGAACAAATCCCATGAACGCGATCTGTAAGGAATAAGATAATCAGTGCGAAATATGATGAGTGGAGGGCATTATGATGGGCGGGGTGGATTATGATGAGTGGAGGGCATTATGATGGGCGGGGTGGATTATGATGAGTGGAGGGCATTATGATGGGCGGGGCGGATTATGATGAGTGGAGGGCATTATGATGGGCGGGGCGGATTATGATGAGTGGAGGGCATTATGA